GCTCTGCCAAAAATACTGCTTTGTTGTGTATCTGACGGGCGAAAGCTAAAACAGTTCCCCACCACTGAAGCTGCAGCATTTTTACAAACCAGTTCTGGTTCATCCGTTTCTTTCAACGATCCGCTTTCATCCTTCTCATTCGCTGCCATGCTTTTTCTGCCATGTGCGTATGAAAACAAAGGCACTGCGCATGTGCGTTTTACTCATATTCTGTCGCGATATTTCATTTTCGTTGCCCAACATTACACCGGTGTTACCGTGAACGGTATGATATGGCCCAGCCCTACTCCCCACCTTTGCCATGTGCGATCATTAGATTGCTGGGGCTCTCTCCCTCTCTTAATATTACAGGCTCTTCTTTAGATGACCATTGATGTGAACAGGCACTACATAAATGCAGTATAAACAACAATGGTGAGATTTTTTTTAACCTACCAAACTCAGAAATCTACAGCTTTTTAAAAATATCATATTATAACTGATGACCATCACACCACAGGCTCTACTTGCTTAATCTATTTGAAAGCAGTTTTAGTGTTTAAACCTTTCTCAATATGGAGATGTTACACGTGGTTAGAGCCATTGGACTGTGCAAAACTTAACAGCTTGCTTCATTTCACAAGTGTCAATGTGCATCATTGACAACACATTAGGCAAAATACAGTAAATAAACAGGGGTGACTTCACTTTTGAAGCAAATTATGTCCCTCAGTTATTTCTATCTATGTAGTCTATAAGAGTCTAAAGATCAAAGAACCAAATGGGTTCTCTGATCTTTTTTCCTAAAAGATTTTAAGTCACTGTAGCCCAATCGTGTTCCCTTTCGAGCTTTGCTATATTTTAGGCAAGCTACATGACTGCATGCTGCTGAGCTTTCTCTTCTAGCATAACTAGTTTAAGTAACAGACAGTGTCACCTTTGAGATGGCGTGCAATCCATGCATTTTATCCCTACACTTCACCTGTTTAGAGCTTTGCCTTTTGGACATGTTGCATAGGCACCGTGTCCAAATGGCAATAAATAGAAAAAAATGGGTGGATGATAAAGTCTGCATTCTCAGGATTTCTTTGAAGAACCCTCACCGTCATTTTTTCTGTCTGTCTACCAGAGCAAGCCTGCTTACAAGCCTGCTCAAACATCTGGAAACAACCTAGTGAAGGACCAAAAGAAGCCCAAGCAGGAGGAAAAGAAACCTGCACAGCACGGTGAGAGCTTAGCCATGGAGAACGGTGTGGAGGACAAGGAGCCAGAGCAGCTGAACGGAGAGAGAGAGGAATGTGGGGCTCTCATCCAACCTGAAAGTGCCTTTAGCAGTGACTCCAAGACGTGCAATACTAATCCTCACTTAAATGCACTAAATGTAGACAGTGGCTGCCATAGAGATGAAGGTCTAGAGGTCACTGTCTCAACAGAAGATTAAACCTATTTTTCTAGAGAGGGTGAAGGATGAAACATGGAGCAAGGTTAGGAACACGAGGAAATATGGAAAGCTTACATTCATTGTGCTTTTTTCTTTTCAAACAAAGAAACGAGATGTAATTCGGATCCCTCTCTCTAAACACACGAGATCCTAACACCGGTAACCTGGAGTCACTCACTCCCTTGTCACTTCAAATCAGAAGGTTACTGCTTGAAGACGCTTTAATTTGAAAATGTGAGTTCATCTGTGTTTGACCTGCTTCTAGTACTTACCGTGTGCAGGTATGGATTTTGTGTTGTCATTGTAACCGCTCAGTGAAACAAGTGAGGCATAATCTTGTGCTTCCATCACCACTTTGAGTTGTGTTCATGGTTAAACAGCTCTGTCCCTCACTAGACGTGAGCTCCACGCTGTTTCGCTTATTTAACTGTAAGTAACGCCTCGAGAAACAGCTCGCGAATCACACGCAAACAAAGAAAGCTTGAATTGGGGTTTTGAGCTGTACTCGAAGCTGTAGAGCTGTAGTGTTGCCACTTTGATAGAAATCTTCTGCATGGTTCGCAGTCTAACCAGTGTGTAGTTATTATGCATGCTGTCCTTTTTCTTCCATTCTTCCCGGTGCCCAATTACAAATTAATGAAACATCTAATACCAACAAAAGTCCCAAAAAGTAGTTGTTCTAACCTGGAATCTTCTTGTGATATTGACCTCTGTTGCATTAAAAAAAGGTTATTTAGCCACTTTGGAGTAGTGTATTCATGCTATATTGTTCTGTTACTGTTTCCTGTTTTAGTCAAAAAAAAGAAACTCACCCTTTGTGTAGCTAAAAGGCAGCGTGCTCCACCTTTAAATCAAAACTTTAGCCATTAACCAGTAATCATTAGGGAGATTTCCTTTAGTGTTATTTATACACTTGTAATTCCTCTTCACCAGAATCATCATTTCATGTTTTCACTTAATACTGCCAAAGCTTTTCATCTATCACTAGTGATTGGAGAGATGGTGTAATCTCCTACCCCTGTCCCCCTTGCAAGAGCTAAATGGGTTACCTTCTGTGTAAGTTGATCAGAGTTTCCGCCTAACTCTTGGATTGTAAAAGAATGAACTGCTGATGGGTTTGGTTGAATGTTCGTGGATTTTGGTGTGGTGTACTTGAAGGCAACTTAGCTACAATGCTTAATAAAACTATATTCTTTTAGTACACACTGTTGGTGGTTTATTGATCTCTCTTAACACTGGGACATGTAGTCATAACACTGTGGTGGGCTGCTAAGTTTACACACATTTTTATTTTTTTATATCCAAATGACAGTCAAAAGAAAGATTCTGCACCTACACCCATTGCCTGTCTTCCGCGAGGCTAAGCAGATACACTGCAAAAGCTAGCAAGCTACTGGCACAAGAATAGCGGTGCAATATCACACTTTTTACTCCCCCACCTCCCAACATCATAGGAGGGAAGAGAGCTGGGTACCCCAGGGAGAATGGATGATGCCCAGGATGAAGCTGCCTATTGTACTTTACCTTATTATCTATCATACATAAACTGTCCAGGAGTGGATGATCATATTAAGCATGGCCAAAGTTTCAGATAATAAGGTCAGTGTATTTACCATGTGATCCAAAAATGCCCACAATATTAGAGACTGAACAGAGAGCGAGCACCTGGCAACTGTGGGGAGGAAGAACTCCCTTTTAACAGGAAGAAACCTCTGTCAGAACTACACCTGGGGAGGTGCAGCCGTATGCTGTAACTACTTGTTGGGTGAAAGAGAAGAGACCACAAACTGTGGTCCTCTCCCACACAGCTCTATGTGCCAAACAAAGTTGTCATCCGGTCTTTAAGTGATGACCTGATGAACCCTGTTTCCAGGTCCAAACTACTCTGCATGTATTAAGGCTGTTGTGTTTTTAACATGTGTTAATGTATCTTCTTCTATTTAATCTGAACAAGCCCCTAAAAAAAGTCAGTGATCACTGTCAGCCTCTCTCGGTTTCTATCATCACTATTCATCTGCAGCATGTTTTAAAGCTCAGTTTTTAAAACCTCACATGTAACTACAGCCCAGCACATGCAGCAGTACATTAATAACTAACCTCGTATTGTGGATGGATTATCTCAGTTGTTCTCCTGACTGAAGTTTGGCTCGTTTACAGCTTCCTGCCATGCGATTGCATTTGTCCCTAACCATCGGGAACCCTCACGTTAACAGCTGTAAGCAAAAGGACGTTTTCTTTGGACTCTATGGAAAAACCTTAGTACACATCCCGTGATTTAATAGCTCGTAGAAGCACTTTAGCAAAAACTTGAAGTAATTATTTTCTGTATGCCATTATCAGTCTCTCACATCGTTCTTGAGAAATTTTGCCCCACTCTTCATTACAACCTTGCTTCATTTCATTGACGTTTGATGGCATTCATTTATATACCGCTCTCTTAGGGTGCCATCACAGCATTTCAGTTCTTGACTTTGGGTGACTGCAACACCTTGATTCTTTTGTTTTCCAGCCATTCTGTTGCAGATTTGTGCTTGACATCACTGTATTGTTGCATGACTCAGCTTCAACCGAGCTTTAGGTGTTGGACAGATGGCCTCATATATGATGCTCAAGCACCTTGGTAAACAGAGGAGTTTATGGTCAGCTCAATGTCTTCAAGGTACCTAGTTCCTGTGGCTGCACAACGAGCTCAAATCATCACCCCTCCCCACCACTGTGCTTTACAGATGGTATGCAGTATTTATGCTGATATGCTGTGTTGGGTTTTTGGGCAAACTTCTTCGCCTTGGTCTTGTCGATCCAAAGGACATTATTTCAGTAATCTTTTGGTTTCTTCAGATGCAACTTTGCAAACCAAAGCCATGTTGCCATGTTTTCTTTAGAGACAAAAGGCTTTCAGACAAGTCATAGTTGTTTGGTCTTTTTCTAAATGTAACATGTTTAACATGCTAACTGTAGCGTTTGCAGTTTCCCTGAAGATTACATGGTTTGATTGGGGGTGAATTTCTTCTCCTTTCATAGAGGTGAGGCTGCATAGAGAAAACTTTTTTTCACACCACTGTAAAATGGCTTGTTTAATACGTAAAAAGGTGCAGACTGAGATTTGGTGTCATGGACAAAACCTCATGCTGGTTTATAATCAGTCAGCCAGGAAGGGCAGTGGACTTGTGAAGAATGCAACATGTGTCTGACAGGGAATCATCTGTTCTTGCAAGCTTATAGTTCAACTACCTTATTACAAAGTGACATTTGATTTCGATTCTGTTTTGCTGAGATGATGTTGAAATATTTTTATGATTGTGTTGTTATTATTATTATTATTATTATTATTATTATTATTAAATTCCAAATACATGAAATGTAGTAATAATAATAATAACAACTGTATTTATAGAGAGGATATCATGATGTACGGAAATAGTGTGTAATTTCGTAATAACAGATTATGTAATAATTAAACAATTATATCTTTCCTAATGGCGGCTAAGAACGCGGCATTTAAATTGTATTCATCGATTAACAATAAACTGTCTGGGAACAGAAAGCGTTTATTTCTCGGCATTTGAGCGTTCCACCACAGGGGAAAAAAATCCGCAAGTCCATTTTAGATCGATCTTTACGCTCATTCATCGGATCTAAAGCTGCTCCCTGACGTAACTTACATTTGTTTATTTATTTACCTCGCAGCGACATCGAGACTACATTTTCTTGTGGCTCCTAATATGAGCGCTTCGGTGCCGCGCAGTCACCAGGGGGCATGCACATAGTAATAATAACAATAATAATGCATTTGAGGAAAGCCTGCTACGACGAGCCTCCATCGTTTCTAGCTCCCCGCACAAACGCCAGCCCGGCCGCGGCGTGATGGAGCTGTGCGCTTAGGTTCATGTGTCCGGCGGGACTGCCCCTGGCTTTTTTTCTGGGGAAGATCATATTGGATCATATTGTTTGCAGGACGTTGTTCCTCCTGCAGCCCCCCCAGTCTATCCCGACGTAGTTGTGAATTGAACATGGCGACTGTACCAGTATATTGCATCTGCAGATTACCTTACGACGTGACCCAGTTTATGATCGAGTGCGATGCTTGCAAGGACTGGTTCCACGGCAGGTAAGTCTCGATTGTTCGCCGTACTGTATTTTGGGGCGGTTTGCATTTGTGGGAAACAAACAAAAATGGCGAGGTCTCGGTTGCGTTTGACAGCTTTGTGGCTCTCAGTCGCCCGTCTACATCTGAAGAGAGGCCGCTTGGAGAAGAAGAAGAAGGCGGAGTTATATATAGCCGACCGGGGTTGTGACATTTTTTCGCGAATAACACAAAACAGATTTCCCTTATTGGAATAAATACGGTGGTTAATGGGAGGATTTCGGTGTGAGCTTCGGCTATTAATTGCACTTAACGGCTCTTTAACATCCCCGCATAGCCCCAGCCTGCCTTCCCGTTGTAAGGAGCGGACGACAGCGGGGGAAGCCTCCGCAAACTCGCCGCTCATTTTTGTGACAAATGCTCGTCCTTCCAGACACGTTAAGGGCAACATTTCGTGCCTATTGCCGGGAAATATTGTCACATTCGAGTCGCTCTTCCAGTTTTCACCGGCCGTGTTAACCGAGCGCGGTGGAAAATCACGACTCGAGTCCGAGCTTCCCGAACTCAGCCCCGCAGCCTTCCTGCCAGGCGGCAGCTATGGCTGACAATAGCCCGTGCTGGATGTCCTAAGCTTCAGCAGCGGAGGGGAAATAATTATTAGTATTGGTTTGACTGGTTTGTCACTAGTGTAGACTACGACTGTTAGCTCATACGTCTCCCCGAGTATAGTGCGAAACGTATCGCCCGCCGCTGCTCATCACTTTCCCTGCTGTACACACACTGTAATGGTCTCAACCAAATCCCAGTTATCATCCTTTCGTTTTTGCCTGCTGTCGTTATATCTGTTCTTACACGAGTCTGTGTCTGGACTGGCCTTTGCTTTGGGGTGTTTAGAGCTGTTCGGCTGCTCACTGCCTGTCTTTTTGTTAACCCGTCATTTGTTAATCGCGTTTCTTTCGGTGAACAAGCCCTTCAGAGCATTGAACAGTATTTACGCGCCTGAACGTTAACCCTTTAATGTTCCTCCGCCGGCCGGCTGCCCGCTGTCTGTATCACACTGTCTAAATCATTCGAGAATTAAGGGATGGCAATAGTCCAAGACCTACAAGCCAAACCACCAGCAAAATACATGTTGTTTCTCCCCCCGAACATCGTATTTCTGCTTGTGTTATTACCTGCATCACACATTTTCACTTACCCGTCACATTCTGTAAGTTTGTGATCCTGATAAAAAATAGAGCAACTGCATTTTTCAAACCATAAGTATATTTAAAGTGGATTTGCACACACCGTACATTGGCGCTCCAATTATTCAGGCCCCTGAGGTGGACCATCATGAGGAATAAATCAGGTTACTAACATCAGGTTCCCTTAAAAAAAATGTAACAAATGTTGGACCGAGTAATGCATTTCTTCTCAAATTAATATTAGACCACTGATAAATACTTGCATTTTAAAATAATATTCATGTACATGTTCAGCTGTTAGGAGCGGATGTGTTAAGTTCACATGTATCATCAATATAATTATGATTCACAGTCTTAGCATGAGTCCACACATGATGATGTGATGTAACAGAAACGTGAACAAAATCTAATCATTATCATCTAAGTGATCACTGAATCCTCTGGGACTTATACACATGGTGATCCATACATGTATGGGTATCACATATACATTGGCTGTTAGAGTCAGAAACAATCGTTCCACAAAGAGCTGCAGCAGCCTAGCTTTGCCATGTCTGACAACACTACTTTCCTACAACCTTTATGCATTCGTTTTTATATCCTGTAGTCATTTTGGTTTGGGCCACAGTTGAGTCACTGCAGTGTTCAGGACAGCGCTTTGGAGATGCTGCTTGCAGTCATGGCACCCAGCAGTTGTTGATCAGGAAACAGTTCAAACGCTAACTGCTCCTAAAACCACACTGTCTGGTTTTCACTGTACATTTCTGTTTTATCTTCATGTTAAATGAACAAAACCAAGTGAGTTAGCCTCGGACTTGTTGCATTTTTAAAATGGCAACTTTTTTTTTTTTTTTTAATCAACCTTATAATAAAAGTGTCTTTATTGAGGAGGGCTGCTTTAGTCTGTTTTAGTTCATTATTAATACTCGTGGGAGCTCAGTTTACCACCTGGCTTCAGTCTCACTGCACTTATCAACCTTTGATACAAAAAGCAAGCAGCTGTTTTCAGCAAATAACCTACAATAAACCCACAATTAGTGACAAAGCTAGCTGGTGATGGCTTATCCAAAAAGCAGTAGTTGGAATATTTTTCTCAGGAGGTGGTGATCAGTTGTTAGATAAAAGAAAAAAAAAGTAAAAATAAGGATTTAGAACACGTTAAAAAATAACTGGTTCAGACCTCAGCTAGGTCCTTTCTGCTTAGTTTGTATGTTTGCACTCTGCCCATCCATGGATCTTCTTACCCATGGATGTGAGCTGGACGGGTGTTCATGTAGAATAAAAGAATACCAAAATTCTGAAAATGCAACATGCCCACCAGCACAGAAAAAACAACACATCGAACCGCAAAACTATAAGCCGAAGATTGCAACTAGTGCAGCTGCCACAACAACTCTTACAGCCCTGATTTATTGATAAGAAGGGCTGTAAGAGTTATTTCAGGAAGTAGTTTGTGTTGTTATCATGAAATACATTTTACCACTTTGTCTGAGACACTTGTCATTGCTGTTGTAAAATCAGTTATGATCCAAAGGCTAAAATGTTTGCAGTGGTTAACATTATATATGCTGAAGCTAACATGACGTAACTAATGTTATGTCTTATAGGATTGTCAGTAGGCTGCCTGTCAGTCATCCTAACATCTCAGTCTATGTTCTGTCAACTGAGTATAATGTTTAAACAAATGGTCTACCAACACCATGTCAGTGGCTTAAATCACATTTTAATAAATAATTATGGCTGAAATCATCTAATTCTCTTCGTACTGGCGCTGACTACAAAATGTTTGATGTTGTGACATTCTGAGTCAGCAAGACTGAAAAATGCTATACAAGGCCATTCCTTTCCAAGACAACTGATATGTTGCTTAACTACAACATTTATGTATTTAAAGTCCGTCAAATTGTAACAAAAGCTGTCTTAACCAAATATATCTGGATAATTCTTTATTAAAATACAACATGTTAATATGTATTTCAAGAGAATAGTGTTTGAACATGGCTGTGATATGACTTGTTATCAGGTATTGGTAAATAATGTTTAAACTAATACTGTAATACATATTATATATTACCTTATTACAATTTTGAGCAATTGTTCTTCCCACTTGATGTTTGCAGTTATTTTGGCGCTGCATGAATTCACTTTATGCTTGTGGTAATTAGTAAAAACGTTCTTTACTTTGAATTTGTGCGTTGACCAGCAGCCACGGTGAGTTAATGCATGTGAATGAGTGAAACACTGGCATTAACCATGCTCTGCATTTTCATGGTGTAGTGAAGTTGTAAATGAGCAGAGGGAAAGTAAACAGAGGACAGCCGTCTTAACTGGCGCTATTCTATTCTACTTAAGCGAACGGCTGTCAAACTGGAGTAAAACCAAGCAACTGAAACCAGGTGTAACCACATTCTTCACAAAGATGTGTGGACACCAGCACTGAAGAAGCCAAGGCTAGGACTGCTAGCACTGCTGGGGTTAGCTAGCAGACAGAACTAATCTGACACTGTGTGCGTTTGCAAAGTTACACACAGCGCGAAGTGTTACATAACTGAGCGACATTTAAAACATGAATTGTTTAACAGGGAAGATAATTAGTGGTTTCATATAGCCACTAAAATGCACACAGTGTATTTGTTTGGACAATGTTGAACTTTGTCTATTTAAAGTGTGTTTAAACAAGTAGCAAAGCAATCAGCAGGAACATCCGTGACACATGTGTGTCTTTGGCCTACCAGAATTACTCCATGAGTGTATCGACAGCTCATCCAGAAGGTCAGTTACCTCAGTTAGTGTCAGTGGAGTGAAAAGACAAAAGTTCAGGTTTTGGATGTTTGGCATAAAACTAACACAGCATTTCATAAAAGAACATGGGGCGATCGTGGCGCAAAGAGTTGGCAGCTCGTCTTGTAACCGGAAGGTTCGGACAGTCTCGGTCGTTGTGTCTTTGGGCGAGACACTTCACCTGCCGCCTACTGGTGATGGCCAGGGGGGCCCATGGCACTATATGGCAGCCTCGCTTCTGTTAGTCTGCCCCAGGGCAGCTGTGGCTACAACTGTAGCTGCCTCCACCAGTATGTGAGAGTGAAGGAATAGTGGAATTGCAAAGCGCATTGCAATTCCACTATAGTACTTTTTGAGGGCCCCAAAAAGTGCTATAAATGCAATCCATTATTATGATTATTATTAACATCATGCGAACATCCTATCAGTCATAGTGGTGGTAGTGTGATGGTCTGAAGCTGCTTCGCTGCTTCAGGATCTGGACAACTTGCCGTAATTAATAGATCCATGTGTTCTGCTCTTTACCAGAAAATCTAGAAGGAGAATGTCATCAGCTCAAGCACAACTGGGTTGTGCAGCAGGACAAAGATCCAAAATACACAGTGGCTTAGTAAAAGTCCAACTTAAGTCCTGTCGACATGCTTTGCCATGACCTTAAATAGGTCCTTTATGCTTGAAAACCCTCCAATGTGGCTGAATTAAACCAATTCTACAAAGAAAAGTGAGGCAAAGCGTTGTGAAAGACTCATTGCCAGTCAATGCAAATGCTTGATTAGAGTTCTCTCTATCAATGGTGATTAGATATATGTAAGGCATTTACTTTATCACACAGGACCTGGTAGATTTGGATATCATTTTTCCTTTAAAATGCATTTTGTATTTACTTGTGTTATCGTTGTGCGCATGTTTAAATTAGTATGACAATCTTAACAAATATGGAAAGAAATCAGGAAATCATGAAAATCAGGAAATCATGTGTTTGTTTTTACAGTGGGGGAAACAGCTTTGCAAGTTTGGTCACTTACAAACAGTCTCAAATTTTATAGTAATGTCATT